GTCCTGTTTGTGTGTAACCTGTGTGCGTGTGTCCTGTTTGTGTGTAACCTGTGTGCGTGTGTCCTGTTTGTGTGTAACCTGTGTGCACATGTACCATGAGTGTGTGTCCCATGTCCTCTATGCTTGTGTCACATGTGCATGTGTCCTATGTGCTCACGTCGCATGTGTATCTCATGTGTCTGTGTCTTGTGTGCCCATGTCCCATGTATGTGTCTCATGTGTGTATGTCCTGTGTCTGCACTGGGCTGTCGCATGTGACCGCTGTTCCTCTCTCTTCATCCCTCAATCTCACATTCAGTGACCACCACCACCCCCCCCACACACACACAAACACCCAGCTTGTGCCTCGAAACGGCACATGTCAGGATTCACATGCCGCTGTCGGCACAGGACTGGCACATGCTTTCGCACGCAGTGCACAGCACTGCAGATACGCTGTGCGGCTGTCAGGTGACCTTCCTGTTACACCGAGACGTGGGAATGGTGCTGCGTGCTGCTGGCCTGTGCTGTCACTCACCCACCCTCTCCCATGTGACCCCCGCTTACTGTTACTGTACCTCCTAACCACTGCTGCTGGCACCCTTTTTGGGCCCCCCCCTGCTGGCACTGTGTCCTCCTCTTATCTGAGGTCAGCCGGGCCTGTGGTTCCTCCAGAGCTTTTTCGGGTAATTCGGGACAGTCTGGAAAAGCCATTAAGCACCAACATGGCAACCGGGGGCGCCAGAGACACCACTGGCCGCTCACACATAGCAGACAGTTCATGTGACCTCTGTTGGCCCCGCCTTCTGGTCAGGCACTTCCTGTCAGGTGACCCATTTCCTTGCTTGACGATTTGCTTGTTTGAGGTCATGGGGCAACACGGCTCAGTTCTTTAATGGACCGTCCATGAGTACGCCCCCCCCTCGCCCCCCCTGTCCCTCACTGACAGTTCCGTTAATCCGCTGCTCATGTTATTCTCACTCAGCTTTAAAATTGTGAAAACGAGAGCAGCTTTTTTCATGTGTGTCGTGGCTGAATGCGAGGTGCTGATGGACGCCCCAAGCTGGGGGCTCTATTTGTTCTGTGGGGTTTTGTTATATTTGCGCCCTGGGTAATGACAGCAGTCCCCCCCCCCCCACCTCGGGCTGGATCACACACGCTGTCTGGGCCCCGGGTGATGAAACACGTATTTAAGGTGTGATTTTGTGAAGCTGCTTGGTGCTCATGCAGATCCAGGCCATGCTCAGGAATGTCTGGCTCCCACACACTGATGGGGGGGGCTGGGTGCTGCTTAAGGCCCCACCCACCTGCCTGGGGTCTCATGCCCATCTCGCCGTCAGTTTCTCTGCATGACGCAGATAATGCACACAAACATGCACATGGATACACACACACATGGGCACATGGATATACACACAGACACACACAGGTTTGTAATTATATCTTTGTGGGGACTCTCCATTCATTTCTATGGGAAAAACCCTAATCCTGACAATTAAAACCTTAACCCCTAGCCAGCCCTAACCTTAACCATAAGTAAACAAGCAAAATACAAAACTTCTGTTAACAAATATGTTTTTTTTTATTACATTCACACATTTTTATAAAATTCAGGTTAGTGTTAGGGGGCACCAAAAAAAGTTTTTATTATCTTGTGGAGGAAATCTGGTCCCCACAATGTAATAATTACAAACACACACACACACACACACACACACACATCCCTGACCCCTTGACCCCCGAAGCTCTTAGAGCCCATTTGTTATTTGCAGTGTAATATAAACAGAGTGTTTGAAATGAGCCCTGTAATCACACCCCCCCCCCCTTTGCTCTCTGTGTGGGGGTGGTCCTTGTGTCTTTTGTTTCTGCCGGATGGGGCGGAGCCGGACGGGGTGGGCTGCTGGTACGCCGTGCCTCAGCGCCTGGTTCTGGGAATCGGGTCCCAGGGGAGCAGACAGCTGGGCGTGGGCTTGGATCAGGCGAGTCGCCGTTATCCAGTGTGCTGGTGGGTCCAGCCCGCTGTGAGGTCTCTTGTCCCACACCTTTAGGTCACCGAGTCAGGAAGGGCCGGCCGGGGGGGTGGCTGTTTACAGACCCCTCTGTTTACATTCCTGCAGGCCAGCGCTGGCTTCGGGGATCAGCTCCGGATGGATGCACGGAAACGCTCTCGTTTTGCTCCGTAATGGAAAAATGCTGGAAGTGGCTGCTGAGGTGGGGGCTGGGGGGCCTTAGCAGCCGTAGCGGGTCGCTGCAAGGCCGGATCTGCTCCCCCCCCCTCTCAAAAGGTGCTGCCTGATGAATTTGCTCAGTCCGGTGTGTTCCCACGGCCCTTGCAAGCCCCCCCAGAAGGTCCGGCATTGATAGCCCCCCCCGGCCAATGTAGCCAGGCTGCGACCTGCCATGTTGAGACGTTGGGCACTTCTGGGGGGCTGACCGTAGCAACTCCACTGTTTTTGTCATGTTGGGGGCTCCCCTGTTGTCTTACGGTGAGTAAGCAGGGGGTGTCCCAAGGAAATGT